TCCTTTACAAAGTAAGATGTAAAACAACAACAAAAAAAGCTCTTTAAATTTTACATTCCCCTTTACAATCCCAACACAGAGTTTCTAAAACAAAAAGGTAAAGATAACGAACAGTGATCGATCTCAAAAAATTCATGAACAATGCAAATATGTGAAGAGGGCATAAAACACGGACCCCTTGAAACTCCAGAGGTGGGACCAGGCTCCGGGGCCATAAAACTTAGACGAGCTCACTTTTGATCTCAGTCTCACTTTTACCAAAGGAATTAATAGTAGAAAAGTTAGACTGAGATGAAAAGTGAGCTCGTCTAAGTTTTATGGCCCCGGAGCTAAGGAGGAGTCAGCATCCCCTGTTGATCGGTCACACCCGCCGTGAGCCCTATGTATTGATCAGGTAGACGGAACTATCCATAGTGAATAAAATAAAAAAAACAAAGGCCTCACAGTTGGTATGAACAAGTCAGACAAAATACGACCCAATGATAGGTTATATTTGCTAACAAGGCCATTATAACGACCATAAAAATACGAATGCTGACTTTAAACGATGCTGTCGAAATCCCTGTAACATCAACTTATCAGTGAGTAACCTGCCTCGCTTTAAAAATTGATCGTACTCGAAGCAAACTCTTGAGTAGCGAATTAGTCGGGAGACATAAACACCATATGCAGGTGATAGCGGAATATTACTACATAATAAATAAGGAAAGTTGACGATGGAAAAGCTAAAGTCATCTCGTTTGTCATATAATTTAGTTGTTAATTGTGGGGATGTACGTTGCTTGATACTAGCATTTCAACAACAAAAACACACCTTACCTTAACCTTAATTCTCTCCACACAAGGCCTGAACATCCCTCTTCCACTGGGGCCGGTCCGAGGCTGCACGGCGTGCCGTGTTGGATGACTTCCTGCCCGTATCATTTCGTTCCATCTCCACCATCCGCCGCCATGTTGTCTAGGGGCGGCCTCGCTTCCTTCTCCCCTCAGGCGTCCACCCGAGGGCCACAACACAGTCATCTGTTATGTCCTTCCTCAGTACATGGCCGATCCAATTCCATCTTCTCCTTCTCACATCGCCACTGATGTTTTCTGCTCCTGCCATCTCCAGAACTGTCTTGTTTGGGATATGCTGCTGCCATCTGACCTTGAGAATTCTTCTGAGGCACTTGGATTGAAAGATGTCAATTCTCTTTTCCTCTGTCTCGGTTAGCTTCCAAGACTCACATCCGTATAACAATACGGAGAGGACCAGGTTCTTGAAGAGGGAGACTTTGATCTTTCTGCTAATGTCTGTGGCCTTCCAGATGTTGACTAGCCTCCTGAAGGATGCGCCGGCCAATCCTATCCTCTTCCTGATGTCAGCAGTACCTCCACCGTCCTTGGTGACATTGGCGCCACGGTAAGTGAAGTTGTCCACCTCTTCGGCTTCACTTTTTGAGACTATCAGGCTGGATTCACTCTTGCTGTTTATCTTCATCACTTTGTACTTCTTGGCATTCAGCTTCATCCCAACTTTTGCTGAGTTTTCTTCCAGTTTTGTTGTCTTGGACTGAAGATGGTTCATTGTTGATGACACAAGGGCAATGTCATCCGCAAAAAAATCGAGGTCTTCAAGCATAGTGGTGAAGTCCCATCGAATGCCCATTCTCTCTTCCTGACTGTCTGTTGCATCACCCAGTCTATCACCAGTAGGAACAAGAAACCTGACATACAGCATCCTTGTTTGACGCTGGTCATCGCAGGGAAAGGGGCTGTGGTCTCATTGTCGTCAATTACACTGAAAATCGTCATACAGGGCTTTGACAATCTTAATCAGTTTTTGGGTATTCCATATTTCTTCATGATGACCCAAAGGCTGTCTCTGTGCACCAAATCAAACGCTTTCTCAAAATTCACAAAATGGATGTACAGGGTAGCATTCCACTCGTTGACTTGCTCTAGGATGTTCCTCAGGATGAAGATCTGATTGACAGTCCCTCTCCCTCTCCGGAACCCTGCCTGTTCTTTCCTAAGGGTGTGGTCAACTCCGGCCTGTATTCTGTTGATGATGATTCTTCTGAGTGCTTTGCTAGCTAGGGGCAGCAATGCCACCCCCTCCAGTTGCTACAGTCCTGTAAGTTGCCTTTCTTGGGAATTTTGCAGATCAATCCCTTGGTCCATTCTTTGGGCACCTTCTCCTCCTTCCATATCTGATCATAGGTGTGCTTCAGTTCCTGACTGGTCTGATCGAGGTCTGCCTTTAGCATTTCTGCTGTTATTTGATCTGCTCCAGGGGCCTTCCCATTGCGAAGCGTCTTCAGTGCAGCCCTTATTTCCTGTGTAGTGGGTGGCTCAATTGAAATGTCTAGCTCCTTACCCTCTTCATGCTCATCTTGTGGTGGTGACTCTGGAGTGTCCCTATTGAGCACTTCCTCAAGGTGTTCCCTCCATCTGGCAAGCCTCGCTTCTTTATTCTTCAACAGCTCCCCATCCTTGCTTTTCACTGCTGCTGTTTGTCTATTACTCTTTCTTGTCAGCTGCTTTACGATGCTGTATAGTTCCCTCTGTCTCCCGTTCTCAGCCGTTTTCTGTGCTCGCTCAACTTTCTCTGTCATCCACCTCCCCTTGACTGCTTTGTCTTTCTCACTGTAAGTTTCCTTGAGTTAAGTCTTGACTCTTTCTGAGTTTGTACTGTCTATCTTTGTCTTGATGGCTTTTCTTTTGTCTATCAACTTCCAGATGTTTTCGCTGATCCAAGGCTTGCTTCTGCCTTTCCTGAAGCCGAGTATTTCCTCTGCTGAATTCACATAGGCCATTCTCTGCTGCTCCAACATTTTCTCGATATCTTCAGTCTCTTCCTTGTGTTCTTCTAATTTCCTTTCTCACGCAGTCATTGAACTTGGTTTTTACTTCTTTGTTTTTTAGGTGCATCCAGTCTTGGTTTCAACTTTGTCTTGTTCTTGTGTGTGCTGAGGCGTAGCCTGATTCGATCTTCACTAGATAGTGGTCGCTGTTGGCATCCGCTCCCTTCTGGACTTTGGTGTCAAGAACAGAAGATCTCCACTGCCCACTAATGAGAAGGTGGTCAATCTGGTTTTTCGCTATTCGATTAGCAGACACCCATGTTGCTTTGTGGATATCTTTATGGGGGAACAATGCTTCTGTGATTACAAGTCCGTTGGCCTGACAAAATTCACACAGTCTTTCTCCATTCTCATTTATACACAGTCCATGGATACCCATAGTTCCTGATAGAATTGATCCTTTTCTTCCTTTTCCTTTTCATTATGTGGCACATAAGCTTGGATCACCGACACTCTCCTGTATTTTGTATAGAACCGTGCTGTTATGATTCTCTTGTTGATGGGTGTCCATTCCATGAGTGATTTCACTGCCTGCTGACTGATCATTATGGCGACTCCTCCCTCATGCAATTCTTCATCCCGCTGTATATGACGGGTTGGCCTTAGGCCAGTCTAATCCTCCCAGCTCCTGTCCATCTGCATTCACTGATTCCAAGAATGTCCATCTGGTATCCTTCCATTTCTCACGCAATCTGTGCTGAATCCCCTCATCTGTACATTGTTCGGACATTCCAGTGTCCGATGGTGAGTGTTTGTTTGGGTGTCACAAGGGATCTAGTCGGACGCTGGGCTTCCCTACGGCTTTCACCCCTCGTCGTCCTACTGCCACTGTTGGCGGTCCCCGCTTCACCCGGTCTTCTTTGCTCTTTGATGTCCATTGTTTCTGTAACTGTTTTTTTTCCGGGAGGAGGTAGTCGGTCTCCTGCCTAACCCCCAAGCTTGGAGTACCAGTGGTTTTCTGTAAGGGTGTCCTTCCCTTATGCTGCGTTGGCCCACGGCACCTTCTTCAATCTATCCGGTGCACCCCTCAATAAGTGAGGGATCCCCTATCCGCCACCCGGGGGACACGCCTCCTAGCCGTAGAGCCCCAGCCGATAGACAAAAACACACACACATCGTTATTAGATATCACAGGCCATAAACTAAATCAATCTGAAAGGAATCTCTGAAAACAATGCAAAGTTCAAAAGTATATGTACATGTTATTATAAAACAGCCAATGGTCAAAAGAAATGATAGAGGGTAAGAAAACTGCGTATATTGAAAATAAAAAAAATGCTGAAACAATGAAAAGGGATTTGGTCTTTTGATAAAAGAGAAAAGTCACGGACATTGTGGTAAAATGCATACTTCTGCTCGCGTACCACAACCATTGGGACATATTTGCTATATACGGGTTCACATTTACAGGCGTATATAGTAGCAGCTTACCAAATTGAAGAAGAGCATTAAAAAAATAACTTCATCAATGAAGAAATATTTTATTTTTACCTCATGTTTGATATTGAATATCCTTTTAAAGTCATAATCTGTATATATCTGAGTCAATTTAGAGAAGTAGTTAGTTCTTTCTAAGTGATAAATTCAGGATTACTGGAACAGAATGAGGTGCAAATTTTGTATTCCTTAAAATTTCTCATGAGAACAGCGTCAGGTTTGCTGAAGTCATTATTAATGCACAGTAACTATGATAAATAAAGCAGATACAGAATGACGCATTTCCAATAAAAAAAAAAAGATTCTGGTTAAAAGCCTTAAAAAGTATACATGTATCTTTAATATTTTTCCCGTTGACAGAAAATGAAATTGATACCATTTCAAATTGATACTTTCAATGTTTTTCCCCATTAAAGGTGCAAGGTATTGTTAAGGAAGGTACATTTACCATTGTCTGCAGTCATTTATGATCAATAGCATTAACAATTTATTTAGCTCTTTGGATTTAAGTTACCAGTCATGCCTTTTCACGTCAGAGAGAAAGAGAAATGATGTATGTTGGTTATAATCATATAGTGGGTGGTCTAGAATAAAATCCTTTTGGTATCGATGATACATAATCTAAAAAATTCCAACATTAAGTGCTGTGAACATTAATCAAACAAACTTTGCATGTTGTGTTGAAAAATAAAATGAAACTAAATCGTGTACTTCAATTAATGTATGTCTTGTTTCGGATTGCGAATTCAGAATACATATCAACTTATTTTGCTGACCAAGGATTCCTTCCAGATAATACAGCCGATGCATGTGTTATTAACAAGATAAATCTGACTAGCGGATCCATATTTCTGTGTGCTTTTTATTGTGGTAGGAACTTCCTTTGTAATGCATTTGACATCTGTAACGTCGATGGTCAACACGTTTGTCATCTCCGCTATGGAAAAATGACCAATTTTTCCAATGCCTCTTCAAGTTGTAGACACTATGAGATTGAATCGGTAAGACTTTAGAGTTCTTAATTCATCTTTGCAAAATTAAAGTCTTTATTTTTTTGTTAATAGGACATTGTGTATCGTTCATCAACATAGTTTGTATTTTTGAAAAAGGGGGAACATGTTGAGCTCAATCCAGCTGCAGTATATCGGTAGATTTTTTTTAATTTTAAATTTTTATATCAATTATTGCCCGAGGAGCGGAGGACAATATTTACGCTCTGATGGTGCTAACGTTCTGATGGTGCTTCCCTCTGTCGAGGGAAAAGGTCTCCTGAAAAGACGGGACACCATAAATTTGATTCTTCCTGATAACCCATTTATAACTGTTTTATTATACCGAACAACCTAAAGAGAGTATAAATTCATCAAACTGGATAATCATAGAATTTTTTGGCATATCACTCGTCAACTTTTGAGAAAAGTTTGGTCAGAACCTCTAACTTCAAAATCATTTATTATAATTCAATTTTAATTTAACATGTTGAATTCAGGTATGTCACTCCTGCATCCTGACTTAAGTCATATGAAGGATTTTTTTTTTTTTTTGTTTTTTTTTTTGTTTTTTTTTTGAGAAGTATATTTTAGATAACTACTCATAACTTCTCATTCAGCATGATTCACAATATTAATCGCAAAGAAAACGGGGGGGGGGGGGGGGTAAATGTGTGTCTTACTGAGCAACGGTACAATTAATTTGATCTTTTTGCACTTAATTGTAACTTTTAGGCTAATCACTTTGACCTTTATCATATTTTACCAGATGTAATCATGGCAATAGATATAATCTTATTTTATGTAAAATAGTTGAAATAATACTTATTCTTAGACAAAAACCTGCAAATAAATGCGCGTAAATTATTGTGTGACCTTTTTGCATTAAAAATGTCATAATTTGGGTGTAAAAAACCTAATTAGGCAATAAATATTTTCTTGTATCAAGCTTTCTATGACTTAAGTGCTGATCATTTGGAAATATCGTTTAGAATTATGAAAGATAAAGTTCATGCAATTGATGTAAATTGAAATATTGGTCAAAATATGCGATTTTCCGGCAACAAATAATGTAAATTCTACCTTGCCTTCCTCAATATATCTTCATTTCTTGGTCTACTGAGTGAATGTGTAAAATTTGTCTAAAGATATTAAATGGAACCTTTATTTAGTATTAATAGCAGAGAAAAGCAGAGAATACCAAAACATTTGCAATCATTGCTTACTCGCTTAAGACAGTTTGTCCAGAAAACAAGATGGTGTTAAATGTATTTATTGTTTTGGGTCTGCCTAATTCTATTTAATCCGTAAATGTTCATTTCACCCTCAAAAATGAACACAAGCATATATACGTACATCAAGTAATTGTTTTATAAATGGCTGTCAGCAATGATTTGTTTTACTGTCCAATACAACTTCTATTCTATGAGGAGCTATGGGTGATTGGTTGACAAGATTTTAGACGTAGCATTATAACAATGTTTGGGTATGAATTTTTTCAACCGTTTAAGCACATCATATGGGAAAATGTAAATTCATTTGATCAAAATGCAGGTTTGGTTATTGACAACTGTAGCTATATATGGGTATTTTAAAAAAATCATATGTAGGACACCTTAAAGAATAATTAACTGTGGTAACAAATAGAATTTAAAATTAAGAGCGTGGTCGCCAAGAAATACAGGGGGATCAGGTGGAGTCATAGATAGCTAAAAAAAAAAAAAAAAAAAAAAAAAAAAACCATGCTCCCTCCTTAACAGGTTGGGTCCACATATATACATTTTTCAATACATAACTGATTTCTGCTTTTTCCTAGCCAAAGTGCTCAGGTTTAGATATATCGACGACGATTTATCTATCAATAGTTACTTTCATTCATATGTCGACTCAATATATCCCAGTGAACTCGAAATTAAAGACACTACAGTCTCTACCACATCTATTTCATATTTGGATGTCTTTCTGACCATAGACGATAAATGATGGCTATATAATAAATAAACTTATGACAAACAGGATGACGTTAGCTTTTCCATCGTCAACTTCCCTTATTTATGTAGTAATATTCCAACATCACCTGCATCTGGGGCCCGTTTCATCAAAGGTCGTACGCCCAGTCGTAGCGCTACGCCGGCGTAAAGTCGGGACTAGCACAAAGATTTGCGTTTCATTAAATAGCTTATTTTTACACCGGACTAAAGTTTGGCCAGAATTTTACGTCTACTCATGAGTAGGCGTAAGTTCGAGCGCAAACATAAAATAAAGCGACTTTACTGATTTGAAAATGATTTAGCCATTCTTTAAGAAGAATTACGGTTCTAAGAAGTCTTTTTAATACAAACGATGCATAATTTAATTTCACAAACTATGAAGATTTTGGGGAGCGGAAATTGGGGAGGGGGTACACCCACTTGAGGAGTTAGTTGACATGCAGTATTTACATAACTAACTTTAATAAATTTCTTCATAAAAGATTGCCCTATTAAGGATTCATTGCGTTTAATCGCAATGTATATTGCGTTTAAACGCAAAAGATTGCGATTAATCGCAATGTATATTGCGTTTAAACGCAAAACACTTTGCGTTTAAACGCAATACTTTTGCGATTAAATGCAATACTTTTTGCGTTTAAACGCAATAATATTTTTGCGTTTAAACGCAATAATTTTGCGATTAAACGCAATAATCTTTGTGTTTAAACGCAATAATCCTTCCTTATAAGGATTTGTTTTGCATTTAAACACAATGATACTGTAGTTTCAAAATCAAACATGAATTAGTCAAAGCTTATAATTACATGTACTAGGACCCGACACTTCAACTTTGAGAAGATCCGATTTGTTCTGTGTCTTTTTGCAAAATTTTGCAGTTTTTGAAAATTGTAATAAAACAATGGCATCTTAACAACCTGAATGTCTTAAATGTATTAGAACCCAAAACTCTTAATAGAGAAATACCAACATCTTACGAACGAACGTAACCAAAAAAGGGGATCGTTCATTGTATTCACATTTGCATAATTAAATTCTTCAATGTTGTTGCGATTTCAAAAGATAAAATCCCCGCAGGATACCTCAAAACTACTTCTTGTCGTAGTCGCTACCGTGACGCTACAATACATTTCAATGGACATTTAAACGAGCAAAGGGGTTCTGAAAAGGGATAAACACATGTAAAAGGAAAATGAAAAATGTCTCATTTTGAAGCATAAAGTCAAAGTTTCTGTCTTACGAAAAAGAGGACGAGGGAGAGTTAAAAAATGAACATAAAACAATGGCCTTTTTGTTCATGCTACTGGCTAAACTTTGTAAATGTAAATACAAATAACAAATAATTATCACCTCTGACAATATCTGTGTAGAGAATTAATCAATAGCCATTCCTGACGTGATATATATGAGAATGTTTTAGCAACTGAAACTAATGCACATTTCATTCAAAATATTCAGTTTTTTACAAATTAAAATGCAATGGAAATCAGCTGAACAGAAATTGGCTTTAATAACCCCTGTCCACATGAATGCTGCTTCGGTGAGTAATTTCCAGACAAATTAGTTTAGACTATCTTTAAAAAATTGTTTCTTTGCCCTCACCGACTGGGTAAAAATGACCCACTCAAAACTTGTTTAACCTGAGGAAACGATAATTTTTTCTCCCGAATTTTCTTTCTCCATCAATAAGAATGTTGAAATTTTCTGGAAAAAATTTATTACCTATCTACCGACCCAATTTTTATATGATAATGTATAAATATTTTGTTCCAAAAAAAGTTGGAACCCCCCCCCCCCTGAAAAAAAGATTTTCGACTTTAAACCCCCACCCCCCACCCCTTTTTGTTTTTTGTTTTGTTTTGTTTCTTGTTTTTTTGTTTATTTGCTTGTCAGATTTTTTCTTGTAAGTTGATTATTTTCTCTGGCTCCCCCAACCCCTCCCACTTTTTTTAAAAAAAAAGAAAATTATATGTTTCTAATTCGACTAATGAATAATAAATAAATCTGCAGCAATATTAATTTTACCAGAAAGAATTCATGACTGTTTTAAAAAAAAATGGGAAAAAAATATCAGTAGAAACTACTTCTACACATCAGTGAAAACTCAACTGTTCTTTTTATTTGCCTGTGTGTGCAGGTACATTTGAAGCATGCCTTGACAACTTAGTGAATCAGCGTCATGCACTTGTTGTCTTCAAATTATTCACATTTTGAGAACTACAGTATCATTTTTTCAGTACACTTGAATCAATCTATGATTTTTTTTTCTCAGAGATGACGCAAGTTATAATTTCGACTATAGTTTTTTTTTCTCTGTACATTAAAGCTTCGGTCGAAATTACTCTGAGTGCGGGGTCAAAGTTACCCTTCACGTATACATACAGTGTATCTTGTAATTTTGTATTCTGACGAATAATGCATGCTTAAAAAAACAATGGCATAATGGTACATAGCTTGAGTACAAAGAAAATTTAATAAATATACACCACCCACAGACATGTAGCATCAGAGGGGCCTGCTCCCACTTTTTCCACACATTACTTTTTACTGTTGAAAATGTTCATTGAAAGGCTCCCCCCCCCCCCCCCCCCCTTGTTGCAGTACAGTCAAATAAGGCTAATGTAGTAATGTATAAAAAAAAAAATGGAACCGAAAGAAGAATTTTTTTTTTTTTTTGCTTGTCAGGTTTTTCCAGGTAAGTTGAATTTTTTTCTCTGGCTGTCCCCCCCCCCCCTTTTAAAAAACGAAGCTGGTCTTTGACTCTACCCAAATGCATAATTTGCAGCTTTTATAATCCACATATCTATACAGATATAACATATATCATGAAAGACAGTCGAAAGATACATTAAGTGAAGATTGCAACATAATAGATCATCCAAGAAGACACTGTGTATCATATGAATGCTCGTTTATTTCTTTGAAGTGATATTTCACATAAAGAAAAACCTACCCTTCTTTCTTATGTTTCTTATTATGGAAAAAAAATTATTGCATATGCATGCATTGCCCCATTCCACT